TTCACTGTGAAAAAAAAAAAAAGGTTGTGAAGTAATGTAAATAATTTCGACCAATTACACCAGAATAATGAACGAAATGGAAGTCATTATTTCAGCGAGTTTTCCAGCAGTGCAAGCAATTTGTAAAAAGAAATGATCTGTACAACGCGCCAACACTACAAGAGAAAAAAAAACAACTTCTAATGCCAAAACATTAAAGTAATTTCCTCTAACGACAGAAATATTAAAATAGAAACCCAAATAATAAAAAAAAACATATAAGCCTAAAACTTACGAATTTTATAGTTCTCCCCTTCAGTGTCTCGGCGGTAAACTTGAAGGCCCATAACTCTAAAATTGGTGTTCGATACCCGTAGTGGGCATAACGCAAATAACCTGTTGTGTAGCCCGCACAAATAATGCGTTTATAAAGTGACCACTGACTTTTATGTGGGCTTTCAAAATTTTAAATAAGCATTTTTAGCTTCTACTAATTTTTAGGGGGTTAGCACACATTTTATTTGCTCTTTGTCACGCAGAATCTTTATCAGCGTATTAAAAACATCTTAAATAATATCAAGACGTTTCATTTAGAAGCGTAAAACTAGCCACAAAAATAAAAAAAAAGAATGATGATCTTAAATCACGCATTAACTTAAAACGAAACCATTATTATCAAAATGATTGTTATACATCCAACATTAAAGTTACATTTTTTGTATCAACAGCCACCTGGTGGAGTTCCAGGACAACCTATGATGCCCAACAGCATGGACCCCTCGCGACAAGGTAAGCAAATCCATTAGTGTTGTTTTTTCTATAGTTTGTTTCAAAATTCACGTTTTTTTTCGACGTGGTTTGTTTTAGACTTTAAAATTGATGAATTCATCTGGTGACGTAATTTATGTAAGAAAACAGGAGCGGGAAAAATATGTTGTGATAGGGGTGGAGGGATAAGAACGGATGGGGTTTAGCTCAAAATAACTTCTTGATGTTATTATTTCTGCACGATAAAATCAACCGGTATGAAGGCTCTAAGGCCCCCTATGGTTATGAAACGTTGTAATTCGAAACAGGGGAAATGGGTAAAAGGTCAGAAGTAAAGGGGCCAATTCGGCGCAGGTTTGAGAAATAAATATAAAAGACAGGAGTTCAACGAAAAAGAGATAAGACCTTTCCTTCGACTTAAGATAATTCACTGAACAACTAACTATAGTTTATCACACTAAAACCTACAGTTTTCAAAATCCCTTAGATGTTACCTGATTAACAAACGTTTTTGTCGTTGTTTTAAGTTAAGTTTATTTTTTGTAATTATCTTTCGTACGCCTTTATCATTTTCGGATAAACTATGTTAATTGATAACGATAATTGTAAAGGAGGTTAAACTACTGGAAGTTGTTTATTTGTTGAAAAAAATACATAATTTTTTTCTGTACTTCAAAAAGTAATTCAAAACTAATATTTCTTGAGTTGCCATTTCACAAAGAAGAAAACTTAAGTCCCTCGGTGGGTCAGCGGTAAGTTTACGAGTGTAAATAGCTCACTGTGTAGCTTTGTACTAAAGAAAAGCAACAACGATGAGAAAATTTTATTACAAGCTGTAGGCTGTATCTTTTTACGTAGATAATTTTAGTACTTCAAGAGTATGTTTAATTAGCCAAAATTAATTGAGGAGATTTAGAAGTTAGTGTATAATTACCAAATTTAATACCATTTTTATTCACCAGTCAGATTATAAATACTTTACGTTTTGATGGCAAACAATAAAAAAGCGACTACGTACTTGAAATCCTTTGTATTCAGATTAATGTACCTACCAAGAATCCTCTGTATTCAACCAAACAACAGAAAGTTAATTGTTCGAGTATGCGTGTTTGGTTTAAGACGCCTATCCACTAAGTAAGATAAAACACGTATACACAGTTTTCCCATTTACCAGTCAGCTTTCTAAGTTGTAACGGACATAACGCGAAACGGGTTTTTCGTCAAGCGGGTTGACAAGAGGTTTCAACTGGTCGTTCATCATACCCAAAGGTCCCCCCCCCCTTTTTTTTTAATTCCAGAAAATAGAAAAGGCGGGAAATACAATCATAAAACAAAGTTTAACACCTTGCTAGAAAATGGTGGTGGAATGATTTCTAGGAAGAAAAATGATTGACTTGAAGAAAAACCTAAAGATGTATACAATATTATGTGTTTGAATTACAAAATGTGCATATTCACGAGCCTGTCAAAACATAGATAGCCGTTAATATACGTTATGGGTTAAACTAAACCGTTAATTTATGCTAATTTTATGCACAATAATTTTGGATAGGTGTACTTTAATGAATGTTTGAAGTAAGTGGTGGGTCTTTAAAAAAATGATTTTCTTTATTTTATAGAAATATGTCGACTAAGAAAATATAGGGAGATTCGCTAAAAACTTCACGTAAAATGCGGGTACATCAGATGTCTTAATAGCAACTTTAACAAATATATATATTGGATAATTATACATTTCTATTATAAATCACATAGTCGTTTAAAATGAAAACAAGATGTACAAATGCCGAGATGAAAATAGAACATTCGAGGCTATCAGAATACTGAATTATCAGATCCTGTTTTCTTACGTGATGAAATATTATCCAGTGCAGTGGATGCTGTTGTCCCCCGTGCCTAACTTCAGTAAACCGATACAGCGTTTTACCGAGATCATGATGTCTGGATTTAGTCAGAGCTCCAGGCGTTTGGTATTAAATTCATTACCTTGTGTTTTAGCGACAGTGACATCTTCTCGTCCTTCCCTGCTGTGGCGCTCAACCGAATACAACCTTGTTTACGAACAACCATTCCTTGGCAGAATATGATTGGTGGTTGGGTTTATCTTATGGCATAGGTAATACAGATCTTGCGGAAAGTAAAAAAAAATTGCCCTATGCTCGTAATTTTTTAGATGTCCATTTTAATGTAAATATACCGGTCACTTCAGCTGTGTCGATGAACACAATGTTGGCGAAACTTGAAGTGCAGAATATTATATCGTCGTACCAAATACATTTTATGCAGTGACTTCTTCAAAATCGCGCGAATGTGACTTTTGGACGGTGGGTATTAGACCCGTATAGTAGTGTGACCATGATGACGTCATAGTACACACACACCGCGCAACTGTGTACGTTACAGAAAGTAGTCTTCATAATCAATTGTCCATTGGTTTCCCGGGCGAAAGTGACTTTGGAAAGACAGTTAAAATTGCACCGTAATATAATTATCACAGTTCCTGTTAGGTAGCGATCGTGAATTACCGCATGTTTTACACGTTATTTACACTTTACACGACATTAATAGGTTATCTGAAGCTTCACTGTCACGGTGTGAGGGTGGTTTGAGGAGAATCTGGCTGAAGACGAGAACGCCAGAACGCATCTTGTACACGTCATCTATAGAACGACATTGATTTCACAACGGTAATTAGGCTAACTGAAGCTTTACTGTCACAGTGTGAGGGTGATTTGGGAAAGATCTGGTTACCGCATGTTTTACACGTCATCTATAGAATGACATTGATTTCACAACGGTAATTAGGCTAACTGAAGCTTTACTGTCACAGTGTGACGGTGATTTTGGAAAGATCTGGTTGAAGACGAATTCTTAAATCAAGCAGCGAGTCGGAACTGGAGCAGAACGCTGGAATTCGATAAAGTTCGGTGCATTTGAAAATAACCACAGAAGAAGACGAAATTCTGACACTCCAAGGGTAGCTCTGACTGTAATTCAAGATGCCGGGTGTGTTTGAGAAGATATAGAAAATCTCTATTTGGAATTCATTTAAAGCCTCTCGAGACGCAGCTGTCGTCAGAAGACATTTCTTTGATTCATGAAAGATCATTACTCCCCGCGTCCTTTGACGTCACTTGAGCTAGACAAATGTATCATGTACACGACGGTGACTTACAAAAATCTACTCTTTAAATCATATGACTTTATTGTATAAGTAGGAAAGACATAACATAACTTAACGTTTGAGTGATTATTTTAAAAGGTCACAAGATCCTAGTAAAATCATTATCACGATATCAAGATATTCTAATACAATAGATTACGATTAAAGCTTCAAACCATTTTTTAACCTGGGGCAACCAACTCACTTGAGGTTTATAAAACGGCAAAAGTGAGGTAAAAATATTTAAATATTTTACATATAATATATTTTATATGTTTGTTCGCGGTGAAACAGGATAAACGCCGCTGAAAATGTGTAAGTTTTTTTTACAAATTCTTATTTTTTAATCTCATTTTAGTTATGTTTTGTGTTGTTTTTTTAACTTTATAACAATTGTAAGGATACACTGCGTAAGTATAATTACTTTTGCTTTTAGCACTCGGTAACTAGCTTCTCTGGTGTTCGGTTGATTGTAACTCGAACTGGTTGAAACGTGTAAAATTAACCATGGCATATGCATGAGAGGAAAGCGGTTTAAAGTGTTTTAACACTTCCACGAGTCTTTGACTTGTTTGTACGACTGTAACGCATTTTCAAAATTTAAAGGTAAATATTTTTTATGAAATGAATATCGCATATTTTTCTGTACTTAAATCATTTTACTTGTGCGATAAAATTTTTATCCAAACTGAATAGGATCGGGTGTGTCTTATTGATTAGCATGCCCGGGTTATGAATCCGAAGATTCCTGTCATCGTCTCACGCACTCCGCATTTTGGGACCGTTGACGTATTGTATGATTGAAGGTCAAATCATATTATTCGGCCAGACAAGTAGTAGCTCGCAAGTTTGCGATGGGCGCTTTTAATTATTTACCTTCCCTCTTGTTTAATCTGTCACTTCAAAATCAGGATAGGGTGCTCGACTCGCAATCTGTTGGTCGTGGGTTCGAATCTCCGTCCCACCAAACATGCTCGCCCTTTCAGCCGTTGGGACGTTATAATGTGACGGTCAATCCCACTATTCGTTGGTAAAAGAGTAGCCCAAGAGTTGGCGGTGAGTGGTGATGATTAGCTGCCTTCCCTCTAGTGTTACACTGCTAAATTAGGAACAGCTAGCGCAGATAGCTTCGCGCGAAATTAAAAAACAAACAAACAAAATTAGGGACTGCTGTGTTTGAAAATTCAGAAACAAATCAATCCAAACGGAATAAAAAGAAAAATCATGACTCTGAGTGTAACATGTTAATCTCGTGCAGTTGGTATAATCTTTTTTTTATTGGTAACATGTTAATCTCGTGCAGTTGGTATAATATTTTTTTTATTGGTAACATGTTAATCTCGTGCAGTTGGTATAATCTTTCTTTTATTGGTAACATGTTATCTCGTGCAGTTGGTATAATTTTTTTTTTATTGGTAACATATTAATCTCGTGTACTTGATATAATTTTTTTCTTTTATTGGTAACATATTAATCTCGTGT